TGGGATTTCTGTTAAAATCAGATTGGCTATCATAAGAATGTTTCACCTGCTTAAGGATTGGCTTGTGTACCTTCTTATCTACATTTATATGAATATCTTCATATATGAGCACCAAAAGAAATCTGAGAAATGACTGATTCCCATAACAACCATGATAAACCCATCTGTAGAGCAACACCATATGGCTACTGTAGATAGATAATTGCAAAGATAAGACCATAAGCAGACTAAATAAGGCAATTTCACTGTTTCTCATCAAATAGTTTTTTTTTTTAATCTGGCATGATTGTAATGTAGTATATGCCCACATCTAAGGACATGTGTTGGTGATCCACCTCACAACTTTCTTTTTAGATAAGAGAAATTGTTAAAGCCAGGTTGTTGCTGTAGCTTAACTCTTACTATATAAATCCCAGACACTTTAGTGAGTCTACAAGTACGGTATCAGACATAAATATGCGGTGTTTCCAGATTGTTATTGTAAGATAATATCTGCCAGAGTATATTAAGTAATGCTGTGGGGAACTAAAGATAACATACCTGGCCCGTTTTCCTCTGAAATAAGAAACATCAAAAAACCAAGAAGAGATAATGCAACTGCAAGCAATAAACATTCCTGGACCGAGTCCTCATCACTTCCTTGACAAATTCCACATACATATTTACACTCCTGTTGTCATGGAGGCAAATACATTTAGTAACTAAAGAAAGATTTGAAATATGGCCTGAAAAATTCCAGCTTGAATAGCTCAGGAACTGCATTGTACTTTGTCAGAGCCACCTGGCTAAAATTATACAACAGGACTCTTTGTAAGAGTTATAGTAAAAGATTTCTATTTTGGAATTATATTCTTAAAATGATCTAAAATACTATTTGCACTGCTTGTAGCTGTGAGAACTCTTTTAGTTATAAAAGACTCAAGACAGCAGTGGAACAGCCAGGCAATGGAAATGATGGGAAATGAGAAATCAAGTCATGCATGTCTGCACCTCTACACTGCTGAGCTCTACCAAGGTTTTTCAAATGCTGATATATGCATTTATATACCTCTTTATACCCAGTCTGTGTAGATTATGTGGTCACTTACTGACTTAGCAAAATTCACAGTCAGTTTACCTCTTCAATAAGACACCGAAGTTGAATCGATCATAGTTTTAATTCAGATAAGTGCAATGCAAAGGATGTTTTTGCAATCTTTTGAAGAGTAAGAGGACAGCGACTTTCCTAAGCCTTGTCTTTGCAGTAGAAAGTGAAAAAATATTGAATAGCATAAGGGAGCAGAAAGTGTCTAGCTAGGGACTGTGTTAACTAGCACCAAACTGGATGGGGAAAAGTCAAAAATACCAAGGGCATAAAAAATAAACAGGCTGCTGTGGCAGTACACCTCTAATTTCATTAGTGTAAAGTTATGCTGTGATGCCAATATAGGTATTTCCCCCTCCCACTGCTTGATATTTCTAAGAAATGCTGAAATTGATCTAGTCTCTTGTAATAGAGATGATAATCTTACATCCACTGTTCTGGTATCAGTTCCTATATGCTGCCTTGATCTGGCAAAGTCAGATTTTTAAAGTTTTTTTTTTTTTGTTATGAAGGGTATCTGACCTGAAGAACTGAACTAAAATTATATATATTGCAGCTTACCAGTCATTGGATTAGTGGTGGCTGCATTAGATTAAAATTTTCAAGCTTTGTTTCCTTTATTTTCATGTTGATCTTGCTAGTAACACACTTTTTGTCCTAGGGTAACAACACTCACTCATTGAGGTGTCACCCCAGGGCAGGATATATGTCAATAATAATAATAATTATTTTATATATATATATATATATATATATATATATATATATATATACATACTGCTCAAAAAAGGAACACTTTTTAATCAGAGTTTAGCATCAAGTCAGTTAAACTCCTGAGATATTGATCTGGTCAGTTAAGTAGCAGAGGGGGTTGTTAATCAGTTTTAGCTGCTTTGGTGTTAATGAGATTAACAACAGGTGCACTAGATGGGCAACAATGAGATAAACCCCCAAAACAGGAAAGGTTTTACAGGTGAAGGCCACTGACATTTTTTTCCATACTCATCTTTTCTGACTGTTTTCCACTAGTTTGGCTAGGATCAGTGTCACTACTGGTAGCATGAGGTGATATCTGGACCCTACAGAGGTTGCACAGGCAGTCCAACTCCTCCAGGATGGCACATCAATATGTACCATTGCCTGAAGGTTTGCTGTGTCTCCCAGCACAGTCTCAAGAGGATGGAGGAGATTCCAGGAGACTGGCAATTACTCTAGTAGAGTTGGACAGCGCCGTAGAAGGTCCTTAACTCATCAGCAGGACTGATATCTGCTCCTTTGTGTAAGGAGGAACAGGATAAGCACTGGTAGAGCCCTACAAAAATGACCTCCAGCAGGCCACTGGTGTGAATGTCTCTGACCAAACAATCAGAAACAGACTTCATGAGGGTGGCCTGAGGACCCGACGTCCTCTAGTGGGCCCTATGCTCACTGCCCTGCACCATAGAGCTCGATTGGCATTTGCCACTGAACACCAGAATTGGCAGGTCCACCACTGGTGCCCTGGGCTTTCCACAGAGAAGAGCAGGTTCACCCTGAGCACATGTAACAGACGTGCAAGGGTCTGGAGAAGCCATGGAGAATGTTATGGTGCCTGTAACATCATTCAACATGACCATTTTGGTGGTGCATCAGTGATGGCCTAGGGAAGCATATCCATGGAGGACGTACAGACCTCTACAGGCTAGACAATAGCACCCTGACTGCCATTAGGTATCGGGATTAAATCCTTGGACCCATTGTCAGACCCTACACTGGTGCAGTGGGTCATGGGTTCCTCCTGGTGCACGACCATGCCTGGCCTCATGTGGCGAGAGTATGCAGGCAGTTCCTGGAGGATGAAGGAATTGATACCATTGAATGGCCCCCACACTCGCCTGACCTAAATCCAATAGAACACCGCTGGGACATCATGTTTTGGTCCATCCAACGCCACCAGATTGCACCTCAGACTGTCCAGGAACTTAGTGATGCCCTGGTCCAAATCTGTCATCTCATTAGGAGCATGCCCCGATGTTGTCAGGCATGCATACAAGCACGTGGGGGCCATATAAACTGCTGAGTACCATTTTGAGTTGCGGCAATGTAATTTCAGCAAAATGGGCTAGCCTGCTGCATCATTTTTTCACTTTGATTTTCGGGGTGTCTTTGAATTCAGTCCTCTGTAGGTTGATCACTTTCATTACCATCAAACGATGGGGCGTCCTTACATTTCTAACACATTATGCAGTCCACATCAGTATAGATATTCAGCATGACATTTTTCCCCATTGAGATCTGATGTGTTTTCAAAGTGTTCATATATATATATATATATATATATATATATATATACATACAGTGTACATATCATTAAATACTATAGCCCAGCAAAGCAAATTAAACATACTTTCTTTTTTATTTGTGATCTTTTGGGGCTGTACTACACATTTTTATATATCACAGAAGTTGAAATCCCATCTCCATGCTTATACACTTTTTCATTTTTTTCTCTACACTGACCTGAATAATCCATGTATTATGCTGGATATTGCTCAAAAGCACTACCAGTGGTTTTCTATTATCAAGATTATTTGTTGGATTGTGCCCTTTGTGCACTTTCATAGGTGCTCTATATACAATGTTTTCTTTCTTTCAGTTATACTTGAATTGTAAATAACTTGTATGCTGTTTGCTTACATACTTAAACAGAAATTGAAACAAATAGTAATGTGCTTTGGAAAGCTTTCTTTTGTATTATTCATTATATATTTCTTTTACTACCATTATGGTTTTTATTACCATATTAATTTATTACAGCTTGCAGTGTGAAACTGTAACATTAAAAGGATGATAAAAATATTCCTTTATGTATCAGGAATCAGGGCACTGTACTGATCATCATACATGCTTGTCTCTGTGTCAACAATTCCCATTTCGCAAGTAAGCTGCCTGATGTATGGCAGCTGATATGAGAAAATATTTCAAACAAATATCACTTTAACTTTCCTGCTTGTACAAGTAGCATGACGGTGAGTGATGACCAGAGGTGGTCTGGACTATTTGGCCGCCTCCAGTACTCGTTCTCACTTCTTTGAGTTTCTCATCAATTTTTCTCAGCTGCAGGTCCTGATGAAAATGGTAACAAAATCTGTAGAACTTATAACAGGGAGTACAGGATTCACTAAGGACAAAAGATATAAGTATAAAATTTCCTATTCTGTCATTTTAACAGCCAGCAATCCTCTGCAGACTTGGCTAGCAGTAGCCTCCAGATCACATTCAGATAATGTGAAGCGTTAGTTCTATCTAACAGGAAATAAAGAATATCCGGCTTTTATTTAATACAAACAAGTCAACAGTTGGTAGCAGTGCTAAGTGTAGACCAGCAAATTCTACCTGGTGAGATGGCACTGTATTATTCATAGCTGAAAAGGTCTAATATGAGAAACATGTAATGTTAAATAGAGGTGTTTGATACATAACTATTTTTTTTAAATAAAAAGCTGTATCTATAACTGTAGAAGTAATGAAGGATGTGCTTTTTATCCTAGAATGTGGATCACTGCCTGAATGTCTGCAAAGCTTCATAAATAAAAAATGAGAAATAAAATTGTCTCTGTTGGCAACATAAACCAATCAGATAAAAGCTGTTAGGAAGAGAAAAATAAATGCAGTGAAGCTTCTGATCTGTACATAAATGTGGACCCCAGACAGATAATATGCAATAAATACTAAAGGTTAAAGTAATATTAAAGCTTAGTTTTTTTCTTTAACCACTAGCCTACAGGGCGATTATACCCCCTTCCTGCCCAGGCCAATTTCCAGCTTTCAGCGCTGTTGCACTTTGAATTAAAATTGCACGGTCATACAACATTGTACCCATATGAAATTTTTATAATGTTTTTGAGACGGATAGAGCTTTCTTTTGGTGGCATTTAATCATCTCTGGGATTTTTATTTTTTCTTAAACAAACCAAAAACAACTGAAAATTTTGAAAAAAAAAAAAAGTTTTTTCTTAGTTTTTGTTATACAATTTTGTAAATAAGTGATTTTTTCTCCTTCACTGATGTGCGCTAATGAGGCTGCAGTGATGGGCACTGATAGGTGGCACTGATGGGCACTGATGAGGAGGCACTGGTAGGTTGCACTGATGGGCATTGACAGGCATCACTGATGGGCACTGAAAGGCAGCACTGATACATGACACTGATATATGGCACTGGTAGGCAGCACTGACTGGCACTGATAGGCGGCACTGACTGGCACTGTTAGGCAGCACTGACAGGCACTGTTAGGCAGCACTGACTGGCACTGGTAGGCGGAACTGACTGGCACTGATAGGCGGAACTGACTGGCACTGATAGGCGGCACTGATGCGCACTGATAGGCAACCCTGACTGGCACTGATAGGTGGCACTGATTGGCAGCACTGATAGGTGGCACTGATTGGCATTGATAGGTGGCACTGACTGGCACTGATGGGTGACATTGAAAGGCAGCTCAGATGGGCACTGATATGTGGCATTGATGCAGCACTGGTGCCTGCTCGCTCCGGAGCCCTGCTCAATGCGTCCATAGGACACATAGAGCTGCAGCTCGGCCTCACCCCCCATTCTTTTTGGCTATCACTGCTGTCTCAGTCAATGAGAAAAGAGAGACCTGGGACAGTCGAGGCTCTCGTGCACATCTCTGGATCGAGAGGGGTCTCAGGTAAGTATAAGGGAGGGGCTGTGGGGGAACAGCATACAGAAGGTTTTTTACCTTCATGCATATAATACATGAAGGTAAAAAACCTTCAGCCTTTACAACCACTTTAACTGTATGCTACTGTATTGTATGTTACTGTTACCTGAATATTACTGTACCCCAGTGCATAACCCAGATAAAAGACTATTCCATTGGAAATAACATTAAACACATACATGACTTGACATTAGGGATGAGCTGAAAACACCTGGGTTCACTTTTCCAAGGTTTGGCAGAACATATCAAAAGCTCAGATGCCAAATTCCAACCCTACTGAAGTCAAGGGGAACTGAATCTGTAAACTTAATTTTCCAAACTTTTAAGGCTAATAGCCAAGGGATTGCAAAAAGTGCATGAAGAGCTAGATACTGACACAGGGGGCATGTACAAATGCAGAAATAAAAAATAAACATACGGTTTTGCAGGGAACGATTAGTTTAATAATGTTGAGGGTACAGTATTAAAAATGCACTATGGGGTTGATTTACTAAAGGCAAATAGACTGTGCACTTTGCAAGTGCAGTTTCACTCATTTTCACCAGAGCTTAGTGAATGTAGTGAACCTTCGCTTTGATCACTTTGTAAGGAATACTCAATCAGGGGCAAGAAAAATAAAAAAACAGCATTTTTGCTTGCACATGATTGGATGATGGAAATCATTAGAGATTCATGTGCTAAGCTCTGGGGAAAATGGGTGCAACTGCACTTGCAAAGTGAACAGTTTATTTGCCTTTAGCAAATCAATCGCTATTCCTTGCAAAATACTTGCTTGGTGGATCCCCTAAACTTGCCTGTGAAGCAACGTATCTCTACCATGTAGATAAAGTAGCATAGCAAAAGTAGCATAGGAAAAAAAGCTGTAATTTCCCATTTGCCTGACTGTAATTGCTACTTATCCTGGACAGCTTGGTTTGATAAAGCTTTCTTTACTGTGTAAATAATGCATTGGGGACCAACTTAAAATACATCCCTTTTGATTCCTTTGGATCTGGACAGGGGAGTTTAATGAGATCAGTGGACCTGTGTGCAAGATCATGTGCTGGGCAGCTTAGTATGCCACAATGAAGAGTGTGCATGGTTTTCATTGTGCCTGGGGTGTTGCAAGAATTTTAAAAGACCAAAGGCACCTTTAGTGACACATGAGGGGTCTAAACAGACCCCTGATGTCTTTTTTTTGAGACCAAGAAAGGGACTGAGAACAGACATAGAGTCCACATTCCCTTTCTCTGCAGCTTTAACTGTACTGCAAATGAACAAATAGAAGTCTCTGTAAAGAATCTCCTGTTCATTCACAAACTGAAGCATAGTAAACACTGTTTACTATGCTTCAGTGATGAATAAACACAGGGAGCAATCTGTACCGATCACTCACTGTGTTCATACAGGAAGAGCCCTCTCCATTCTCCATCCTGATACAGATCTCTATCCCCAGCAGCAGCTGGGATCAGCAGAGGGAGAGGAGGGGAAGCCAGCCAGCAACCCTGCAAGAGGAGGTGCCGTGGATTGGTGCTGCGGTGGGGGTGCAGTACATGATGGGGATAAAAAGACACTTTGATTCCCCGGAGGCTCCCCTGCAGTAGCTGAAGCCAGCAGGAAGGGGGGGAGGACACCGGATAGCAGCGCTGAAGAGACAGGAATTGGTGAGGAAGGGCCAATTATGGGGGGGGGGCAAAGCAATGAGGAGGGGATGTTTTTCTGAAATTCCCCTGTGGCTCCCCTGCAGCATCTGAAGCTAGCGAGAGGGGAGACACAAGGGATCAGTGCTACAGAGTGGGGGCACATAGGAGTAGAGGGGGGAATATTAAAGAACAGGTGGAGCAGCAGCAGCTCCTACATGGGTGCAGAGTGTGAAGACACAGTAGGCCCCACCCCACTCAGGGCCCATGTACACCATACACATTTCACCCATGAATGATACTCCACTAGATCTTGAACATATTTTTGGGTGGGAGGCCCCTCCCAAATCCAAAAACTTGTCCTTAACCTAAGCATACAGCCTACCTGGCAGTCCAAACCAGGCCACCTTCCTTTATCGGGGAAAGTGAAGCCATGTTGATGAGGACAAGGGCCTCTACCCCACATCCCTGTCCTGGTGTTTGAGGTGGTTTGGGGGGATTTATTGGAGTAGTATCTCTACTCATTTACCAAAAAAAAAGTCACACAAGCTTTTGAAAAACAACAAAATCCAGTTTTGTAAATCCAGGACCAATTGTCGAAAAAAATCCACCAATACATGACCTATCCACTTGCACCACACATGACAGCTCTCTGGAGCTGTCAGTAGTTTATATAAAAGAGGGCAAGGATGTGGTGACATTACTAAACAAATATGGCAATGACCATATTTAGTCTACGGAAATGGCCATATTTGGTCAGTGATGTCACCACCACCCAGCCCCTTTGCTTAAATGTCCTGGGTATCTCAGCCATGTAAATGAGTGGGGCCAGAGACATCTTTGGTTGTCAAGGACTCAGCAGTGCCTGCATCCTTGACAACGATTGACAGCAGAAAGCTGCCATATATAGTAGTAGTAGTAATACTGCTATTATACAGAAAGTTTGGCTTCTGCCAAATGATGAATATTCAGGCATTCATAACAAAATATGTTGATCCTCTGGGTACCTGCCAGTTTTAAATTTTTTTTTTTTTTTGCTTGTTTATGCAGTGAAAAGAAGTAAAATTATTTCTGGGGCATGTAACGGGTCCCAAAAGACTATGGGTCCATTCACAAGCACAGCGCTACTTGCGCATGCACAGTGGGGAAACTGTCATAGCTGGGTGCCCACACTGAAGATGCCGACACCGAGGAGACAGGACGGTCGATCAACCCAGCAGGTGTGAGGACATCTCGGGATCGAGGGACAGGTGAGTGGCTGTTTTTTAAAAGTCAGCAACTACAGTTTTTATAGCTGCTGACTTTTATTTTTCTTAATTCCGACTGAACCTCCGCTTCAAATCCAGAGAGCTTACATCTTTAAGACAAATTAGGTACTAGAGAGAGGTAACCACATGCTAATCAAGATTCTCAATTAACCTACTACACACTGCCTATAGGAATTCATGGCACCCCCATACTGTAGTTGTTAAAGAGCAGCACATTTCTGTACTGTACCCACACATATGTGAACCTAGCCTTGTATGACAGTGTAAACAGATCCCAAATTGAGTCATTACATGATTTCCAAGCTTCATAAAGTTGATAAAATTCTCCTTTACCTTCTATGACTGTGCCAAATCCTCCTTTATTTGTGATTCACATGTCCCCCTCTCAGACACTGCACCCTACAGTGGGAAGATTTCAGCATCACGGACAGTGCTGCCAATCCAGAATCCAATCCAGTGGGCAGGGCTAGGTGTGGTCAGGTGCTGATTGACAGTCTACAAGCCTTGTCAGCAGTGTCAATCCTGATAGCCACTCCTTGTGCAACAACGTCTTATCCCACTGTAGTGTAAGATCCTGAATTCAAGAGCAGTGCCGCATTGTTGCCTCAATCAATGGAATCTGCATTAGGTTGACTTCACTGGCAGGATCAACAGGTATTTGTGGGACTATGCAGGGAGACTACAGAAAAGTGCAGCTGCAGTACATGTTTTTTTTAATGGAATGCTGTGGTTCTACTTTAAACAATTCATCTGAATGTAATTTTACAATAGTTTATTCAGGCTTTTTCTGACAAGAGACTAACTTTGTTTTATCCACATTAAAGGCATACCCTTGACCCTAGCAATGAGGCCCCCAGAATCATATGATATAAAAGTAGGGACATTTATTACAGAGATTGGTATCTATGGTAAAAGTAAGTATGTAATAACATTTGACATTGATATCCTTAACAGCTGTAGTTTGCAGACAGCTTGAATGTGGTTTTACCAGAGGGACTCGCTGATTGGATCACTGGTAGTAGACCGTAAAAGACCAGCTTAGAATACCTTAATTGTTATAATAGCCTGACTTACTAGACTATAACAAGAAAATGTATTTTGTATTATCTTTATATGCTCCTACTAAAACATTTAAATGCTATTTTTATTTCAGCAAAATAGAGAAGAAATAACATTTAAGAGTCAATTATAATGCTTCCTCCTGATGTTTTATTACACTGAAAGAATATTCTGCAATGTATGTTACACACAAGGACTAAATGGCTAAGGCAAGGTGAAATGTTCATAACAATTATACAAACTTTATAGGAGTTCCTATAAAGTGTCAGGCAGAATAATGTGTTTTAGTAGTGAAGTGTAAGCCTATCTTTACCCTTTTTCTATTATATGAAACATGTATATCAAGAAAAATATTTCACTAATTTACTACAAATTTAAAGAAAAACTGAACTCTAAAAACAATAGACAGAGGGTAAAGGACTAGTCATCAGTATTACCTGTGGTCTCTCTGGAGCTGATATTTCCCCATTACTGATTTATCATGCCTTGTTCTGCACTACTTCTCCATGTAGAGACTACCATTTTGGTAGCTCTAATGTTTTGCTTCCTCATGTCATAGCCTCCAGGAAGAAAAACAGTGAGCAGAACAGTAATGACAACACCAAATCTCACCCCAAATCGCCTAAGACTAGCAGAGTTAGGTCTCAAACTGCAGATTTACAGTCATGAGATGGTAGACTCAAGAGTACCTAGGCTAAGGTGACCAGATTTTTTAAAATGGGCACACCATAATGTCATTGCCCAGATATTGCCTTGTGGTTATACTGGGTCAATGATTTCATCAGCTTCCCTGCCCCTTTGGTATGTGTGACTGAGGAGCTAGGAATTCCTTTCCTACAACTGATCAGG